GGGGGTATTTTTTAAGATGTGTTAACATTTGTAAAAAATCACAAAAATTTTAACATAAAAAAAAAAAAAATCACCAAAATTTCCAAAATGCACCAAACAGATGAGAACTGTTATAAACACTGGTGATTGGCGCATCAGCTTTTAAGTGAAAAAAGCATTATTTGTGAATAATTTCTGGAAATAATCACTCAAAATCTGAGGTGCATGAGCTCTACGAGCCTACGATCAATCAGTTCCAAACTGGAATAAAAAACATGTGCTAATTGAAAGAAAACTAGTTGATAAAAAGATTGAATCCAATTTGCGGTAATAATACAGCAAGAAAATCCTCTCCAGGTCAAAATGACAGTAACATAACAATTATGATGTTTGTGCATCATTCTTTAACTATATATGATCTTTCTTTCCATTCTTTTTGTATCTAATAATGACCTAGTGTCAGAGTTTTATATGTGAACTGAGTGTAAATGCTGTTCCTGCTCATGCATCTGTGTCAGGACTGCTGTGAGATTCATGGGAGCTGTTCACATGCCGTGGTGCTGAAACCAGCGCCTCACATTGCCTTCAATGAGCCGCTGACTCACGCTTAATTGAGTGAGATTAGATGCAGTCGGAGGGTAATGCTGTGAAGATACGCGCACTGGTATCACCGTACGCTTCAAAACAGGGTCGCTGGTGAGCACGTCTACATCTGCACCTGATATCACCAAACATGCTGTAAATACATCATTAAACTTTGATACAACCGACAATGGTACATACACTCTTAAAAATAAAGGTGCTTCACAGTGATGCCATAGAAACAAAACTTTTTTGTCTAAATGGTTCCATAAAGAACCTTTAACATCTGAAGAACCTTTCTGTTTCACAAAAGCTTCTTTGTGGTGAAAGAAGGTTCTTCAGATTATAAAGACATAAAGAAAGAGCTGGAACCAAAAATGGTTCTTCTATGGCATCGCTCTGAAGAACCTTTTAAGCACCTTTATTTTTAAGCGTGTACCCGATACATTAATCATGGTACAGATATTCACTCAGTACCACAAAGTAATGCCACAGTATATGATTGTAATGGTAATCTGATGCATGGAAACTGACCATATGCGGTATTTTCTGTTTCAGTTCTTGATTAAACAGTGTTTTTACAGCATGTTTCTGTGATTGCAGACGTTTGTTTGTCATTCTGCCTTCGGTGTTTCGCTCTGATTGTGCCCGGTGTTGATAATACAGTATGTGAAATGTGAAACTAAATCTCTTACAAGCTTGAAATGCGCCTCTAAATGACATTCGATTGGATTTCTTCAGCTTGTAACAAGAACCTTCAATCCCAACACATTGTGAGCATGAAATCTGAGCATGAAAAGATTCTCTGGGTAAATAATAACTATCAATATCACAAAACAAGCTTTCAGAGTGATATAATGAACCACCAAAAAGGCACACAGAATCATATTCTGTTGATAAAACAACCTGCTATTAAACATCCGTAACTGCGTTAGATGCAAAACAGAAGCACAGAAGACGACAGCTTCACTTTGGTGCTAAACAATCCAGTTGTGATGATTCATTTCACCTGGATACTAAACTGAAATATTAATACCATTAAAAGCTTTAAGGCATCTTCTCAGATAGATATAATGAGCAACCAGAAGGAAAATGCACCATCTTCTATTGCTTAATCAAGTACACATCAGTCAAATGCATGAAATGCACAAGTGTTCATCCAGAAGAACAATAGCCTAAAGGACTTTCAACCACAAACACAATGATTCATTTCAGTACAAAAAGCTTCTTTGGGCATATATGATTTTTAATGCCAACTATTCACATAAATAAAGCTTTTGACAACCCTTTAAGACTGATACAATAATCTAGCAGAAGAAATGTCACATCATCTTCTATTAATACAGTAGATCAATCCTGCCACTCTATAAAGATGACAAACATGTGAACGCTTTTCCACAAGGAACAGAAGCCAAAAGAACATTAAGCCTCAACACAATGATCGTGAAAGGGTTCTCTGGGCAGATCTGGCTCTAAACTGAACAATTAATACCATTAAAAAAAAGCTTTAATCTTCTTAGAATGACATAATAAGCACCCAGAAGGAACGGCACCATCTTCTATTGCAATAACTTGATAACACTTCATTGTTGTGTACCATTCCTTATCTATTAAGAACAAGAGCCTACAGTCCCAAACAGAATGATTCGTTGCAATTTAAGAAGATACTTTGGGTGGCTATTCATATAAACAAGGCTTATTTCGAGTGATATATTAAACAATCTGAGGAAAAGTCATATCATCTTCTACACTAGATGAATTGTAAACATGATAAACATGAAACGCTTTTCCACAAGGAACAGAAGACAATGATCATGAAAGGGTTGTTTGGGCAGATCTGGTCTAAAATAAACTATTAATGCTGTTAAAAATAATTAAAGAATCTTCTTTGAATGATATAATAAGCAACCAGAAAGAAAATGCACCATTGTCTATTGCTAAAACACCTGTAAAATGCAAAAATAAATCATATAAAATGCACAAGATAAGTCCAGCTGATAACAGTTCATTGTCATTAACTCTTTACCATGAAGAACAGGAGCCTAAAGTCCCAAACAGAATGATTCATTGCAGTATAAAAAGGTTCTTTGGGTAGATATGATTCTGAATCAAACTATTCATATAACAAGCTATTTTAACCCTTGTATTATGTATTATTTCTGGGTATGATTTTGATGGAGCAGGTCAAATTGACCCTAATTGCATTCAATGCAATTCCCTAAATATCACGTTTGAATGGCACCCGGTGGCTAGTTTTGGAATAACACCTAAACAATTTTTTTTTTATATCAACTTCAAATTTGGAACACAACTTGTTTAGACATACATGTTCATGGCCCTAAATGAGAAAAAGTTACAACATTTCTGGAAGAAAAGGATAAGTTAAATAGTATTTCATATACATTGAAAATAGAAATGATAGCTCACTTTTACCATCTGAGTCTGAGAAAATCTTTTTCAGCACTGAAAATAATGAGAAAAAGCTCATCAGCAAAACACCAACATAACAACATATACCCAATAAATATATTTAATTTGGGTCTGTACAGTTGCCTTGAAATAAAAAAACAAAAAGTGGGTCAAATTGACCCGCGAACATCAACAAAGAAAATTATTTGTGTGCACTTCAAAACACATCAGTGTATCCTCACTTCGCATGCATGTTCATGGCCCTAAATGAGGCCACATGATAAACATGAAACGCTTTTCCACAAGGAACAGAAGACAATGATCATGAAAGGGTTGTTTGGGCAGATCTGGTCTAAAATAAACTATTAATGCTGTTAAAAATAATTAAAGAATCTTCTTTGAATGATATAATAAGCAACCAGAAAGAAAATGCACCATTGTCTATTGCTAAAACACCTGTAAAATGCAAAAATAAATCATATAAAATGCACAAGATAAGTCCAGCTGATAACAGTTCATTGTCATTAACTCTTTACCATGAAGAACAGGAGCCTAAAGTCCCAAACAGAATGATTCATTGCAGTATAAAAAGGTTCTTTGGGTAGATATGATTCTGAATCAAACTATTCATATAACAAGCTATTTTAACCCTTGTATTATGTATTATTTCTGGGTATGATTTTGATGGAGCAGGTCAAATTGACCCTAATTGCATTCAATGCAATTCCCTAAATATCACATTATTAAGGAATCAGGTATGAATGGAACAATTTTAATATCAGTAGTTGTCACACAGTACAAACAATTAATATCAAAAAGTATGATTTTTAAAAATGTGTTTAACCACATTTTCCGGCTGGTAGAAGTTTACTTCTATATTACTATATTCTTGAAAATAGAAATGATAGCTCACTTTTACCATCTGAGTCTGAGAAAATCTTTTTCAGTACTGAAAATAATGAGGAAAAGCAAATTTTTTCCCTTTCCAGGGTAGTAAAACACCAATATAACAACATATACCCAAGAAATATACTTAATTTGGGTCTGTACGGTCTGTTGCCTTGAAACAACAAAAAAATGTGGGTCAAATTGACCCGTGAACATCAAAATCGTAACAAATTTATGCGTGTGCACTTCAGAACGCATCAGTGTATCCTCACTTTGCATGCATGTTCACGGCCCTAAATGAGAAAAAGTCACAAAATATCAAGAATAAACTCACAGGTTAACTGGTATTTCCGACAGACAGCTCAAAAATCAAAATGGGTGAAATTGGCCCGGAACATAATACAAGGGTTAAGCTATTTTAGAGTGATATATTAAACTAGCAAAAGAAAAGTCACATTATTGATTACATCAATCCTGATACTCAATGTGTTAAACATGCAGCACTTTTCCAAAAGGAACAGAAGCATGAAAGGGTTCTTTTGGGCAGATCTGGCTCTAAACATAACTATTAATACCATTACCATTATACTATTGCTTTAATCTTCTCAGAATTATAAAATGAGCAACCGGAAGGAATTGCACCATATTCTATTGTGATAACTTCTGTAAAATGCATGACATGCACGACAGAAATGCAGCAGATAACAGTTCACTGTCATTTAACAACCCTTTACCATGAAGAACAGGAGCCTAAAGTCCCAAACAGAACGAATCACTGCAGTATATGAAATGCTCTTTGGGCAGATCTTCATTTAAACAAAGCATTTTAAGAGTAATAGAATAAACTGAGGAAAAGTCACATCATGTTCTATCATAGAACAATCCTGCCACGCTGTAAACCTGAAGTGCTTTTTTTACAAGAAACTCAAGACGATGTCAATGAAAGGCTTCTTTGGGCAGGTCTGGCTCTAATCTGAACTATTCATATGAAAGAAACACCAAGGATCCCTTTGTTCGATTGATACAAAGGCGAAACAGAAAGCAGCCCTTCTTCTATCGCCACCCTGTAAACATCTCATTAAGTGCGCGAACAAAAGCGAGATGATGAAGCTCCAGAAGCTCTTTGTTTTGATGGTACTCACACGTAACCGTGGTAGATGAACGCCCATCCGCGAGGTCTCTCCAGAACATTGTAGAGGAAATTCTGCAGGCGTCGGTAGAACGCGTTGCGCTTCGGCGGCCTCTTCCCGGAGATGCTGGAGCGCTGTTTGCTCAAGATGCTGCCGCGCTTCGTCGCCTCCGCGCCCGCGATCAGCAGCGCGCCGTCTCGGCTCGATTCCGTAATGGAACAATTTTAATATCAGTAGTTGTCACACAGTACAAACAATTAATATCAAAAAGTATGATTTTTAAAAATGTGTTTAACCACTTTTTTAACCCCTTAAGTGTCACCGTCCCACTGGCAGAAGTTTACTTCTATATTACTGTATTCTATACTACTATATTACAGTTAAATCCTGATCTAATCATGACAAACTATATATCGTTGGAAAGATCTAAGACTCCTAAATATATATTTTACCACTGTTTTTTGTTGTAAATTATGTAGGAACAGTAATAGATTAATTTATGACAAGAGTGCACCTCAAAACATGTGCATCATAATAGGAGTTCTGACCTTTGTCACAAAAAATAATTTTTCCTTTCCTTTTTCCCAATCACATGTTTTAGAAATCATCATAAATTATATATCATTTGAAAGCTTAAAACCTCAAAATTCATCCAGTGAACCAACCATTTTGAAATTGGACATTGCATTGCCATGGAAATGGTACTTTACAATTTTTTAGCAGGTTAGCTTTTAGCTTTTAGAATCAAAACTTTTTATAATCTTGACAAAATATCGTTGGAAAGGTCTGAGTCTCAACATTCCATATTTGGTGGTATATATATATATATATATATATATATATATATTTACACAGGTTTGACTCTCCCTGGAGAACTCGTTTTGGTGTTGTGAATGTAATTAGTCCTGTTTGGGTTTCCAAGGCGAGCATCTTACACGACCTTATAGATATTATCGATTTTTGTTTTTGTTCTGAATCCAGATTTAATAGATCAACTACCTTTCTGTATTGCCTATAACAGCCTTCAGACTAGCATGACCGGCTTAAGCTGAATTAAAAGTTGTTTTTTTTAGGAGGTAAGCAACTTTTAATTAAAAAAAAAAAAAAAAAATTATTTGCATGTTATTGCATGACCTGTTCGAGTTTCAAAAGCAAGCATCATACACGACCTTATAGACATTATCGATTTTTGTTTTTGTTCTGAATCCAGATTTAATCGATAAAAGAATGCCCTTTCTGTAATCACCTGTAATTGTTTAATTAGCTGGTTTAAGTTGGTCACCCACGCTTGATTCCAAAACCCTCTAAAACCAATTATTCATTCATTCATTATTTTACAGCATAAGGAATGCTTTTATTTTTTATATTGCATGGCCTGTTTGGGGTTTTCAAAGGCAAGCACTGTACACTGGCCTTAAAGCCAGAAGTGATGTTTGTTTCCAAATCCAGATTTAATAGATAAATGCCCTCTCTGTAATTGCTTATGATGGTTTTATTAGCTGGTCACCCCTGCTTTATCTCAAAACACTCTAAAACCAGATTTATTCAGTAAAAAATCTGTAAGAATAAGTAAGATTTTTTTTTTAATGTACATGTTTGGCAATGTCTTGCACATTTAAATTGTTAGGCCTGATCTGTTAGCTGGTTTTAGAGGGTTTTGGGTCTGGTCAGGCTGGAAGACCAGCATGTCATACCAGTTGAAACCAGCACAGCCGTAATTTCGTACCAAAAAAACAAAAACAAAAACCCTTTTCATTTGCACATTCATTGCACATTTAAATTGTTTGGTTTGTATTGAGAAGTCTCCTCGTACACTCTAAGAAGAGTCCATAAAAAGGTCCCATAATGTACTGTGTTAATATTTCCCTTATTGATTTTCACTGGCATTTGAATTATGCATTTCAGTCGTTGTGTTTTAGGGTTAAAGGAAATGTCTGTAAATTAAACTGAGAAATTTTCCAGCACCTGTTCTTTTATTCAGAGGATTTTTTCTTAAAATACAAAAATCTGCTGAAAACAACAGCTGAAACCAGCCTAAGCCCTCGCAGCCTGATCTGTTAGCTGGTTTTAGAGTGGTTTTGGGCTGTTTTGTTTCAAGACCAGCTTGTCAAGACCAGCACAGCATCTTAGACAGTTTAAAAAGATTTTTCCCAAATGGATGTTATTTTTGTGTCAAATAAAAACAAAATGTAACAGAATTTTACTGTTGGACAGGCAAAAATGCTTATATGTATGGTGAGGAAATAATTCCCCATCATGCAGTACATATTCCCAGGGTACTCTATGCTCTTTTTCTTTTTTAAATATTGTTTTGAGAATAAAAGTCAAATGCAGATTTCATATTATAATGTTGAAGATTTCAGAAAGCTTTGGGAATGTAACCGCAAAAAATACATGCATACGTGCATCCGATGATCTTTCCTTTGTAGAAGAGTTATGATAAGGAAAACAGTATGAAGAGAGTTCAAATTTGACCAAAGCTCCATGTGAACATGTCTCCATCACATACATAAAACTCAGTATTTCTGCAAGTCTGAGCTGATTCTGGGTTGTTGTGTGTTTATCTGAAATGTCAAAAAAGCTAACAGATCACGCTAATTCACTTCCACAGCAGCACAAAGACACACATCCAGCACGGCGAGCATCACGAGCAGATCCAGCGTTTGCCTCCTGGGCTGCTGAATAAGACTCTGCTCTGCGTGCTCGTCATACTGAAGCTCCACACAACAGCAGCGTCTCCCGAGACACACGAGAGCCGCTCCAGACCCTGCTAATCAAATCAAGAGTGATCTCAGATCATTCAGCTCACATCTGACCTGCCAAAGACCGACACTCAGGAACAGCATGCTCAGAAATGATCTCATGATGCTTTCAGAGCCACTCAAGCATTTGAACACCTGAATACAATCATTCAATTCTGGGTCAAACTGGATTCAATATTTCTCACACAATACTACATGAAATAAAATAAAATAAAATAAACATGGAAACACTTTAAAATCTGTAAAACTGTGGTTCAAATTGACCTGGAATATTATATAAGGGTTAAAGATCCATGCTTAGTTTTAATGGCTTTACATAGAATTGATGGTTGAAGCTTACTGTTAGTATACCTCAATATAATTAAATATAAATGTAATTATATATATATATATATATATTTTTTTTTTTAAATGTACATTTTTATATTTAATTTTTATTTTGTGCTTTCCTGAATGCCAAGATCATGGGTCGACATCATTTTAAATGTACATTTTGTTAAAATTATTGATTTGTATTTTTAATTTTTTTTGTGTGTGCTTTTCTGAGCACCAAGATCATGGGTTCAATTCCCAGCAAAATTCACATGCATTAACTGATAAAAATTTACACCTTAATTGAAACATATATTTCTTTGGATAAAAGCATGCCAAATGCTTTAATGTAAATACCTTCAGATGGTAATTTTTTTGGTCTGTGTATCTGTTTTAACCGTGAAATGTGTGGGTCAAACTGACCTGTTAACATCATAATTGTAATAAAAAAATGTAATAAATGTAATTGTAATAAATGCATGTCCCACAACACCCCAGACCCTAAATGAGAAGTAGTGACAGAATTGCAAGAAAAACATTATTTAATAAACACTGAACTGGAATATAATTTGATGGTTAAAGACCAATATATTTAATTCTGATGGCCAGTGCACATCTTCACGTAGACTTGAAGGTTAATACTGGTTTGATCACATCACTTACAGTAACTGTGAGCCACAGTGATGCAGGACTTACTCAATAACAGTGAGTACAGACGATCTAAAGGCAGATGCATCATTCTCTCACGGCTTTCTATATTTAACAGCATCTAATGAACAGGTTTGACTACTTTAGTCATTTCCATGAGTACAAATCTTAATGTTTAAGCACATAATGATATTCTAGGGAATTGTGTTTTTTTTATTTTTTTATTTTATAGCAACAGTTTGGCCTCTGTGTATAAGGCAAGGTTCAAAAAGAAATGTGTGACTTTAAATGCAGACCTCGAGCCAAAAACTCATCACCAAACACCAATGACTTGTACATACACTACATAGACAAAAGTATTGAGACACCCCCTTCTTTAGAACAGAAAAAGGCACTTCCAAAACTGTGGCAACAAAGATGGAAACATAATTCATGTATTTAAAAATTGTATTTCCATCTCTGTTGCAACAGTTCTGGAAGTGTTTAAAATGACTCTACCCATATGTACAAGTCATTGGTGATTGGTGATGAGTTTTTGGCTCAAGGTCTGCATTTTGAATTGAATTGAATTGACATTTATTTGACAAACTGTACAAAATACAAGTATCCTATACACATTTCCATTGCGGCCCTCAATGTTAATATAAAGGGTATAAGGCTATGTACAGAAAAGACAGTAATCTCCTAATCAAATACTAATTAAAAAAAATAGTAACAATAATTCACAATTTTCACAATTTAAAGTCACAGCAGAGGTGTTCAGCTGGGATTCTGCAGACCAGTCAAGTTCTGACTCAATCAATCATTTCTTTTTGAACCTTATGCACAGATGCATTGTCATGTTAGAATAGAAAAGGGTCGTGTCCAAACTGTTGCTGTAAAACTAGAAGCACACAATTCACTAGAATATCATTATATGCTTAAACAGTTATAAACTCTGTTTATATAGGCTATATATATAATATTTATATATATATATACTATATATAGGCTCGGAGAAATACAAGATATAAACTCAGGTAGAAACTCAGAAATACGAAATATAAATTCAGATAGAAATATGAGATATAAATTCAGAAACAAACTCAGAAATACAAAATAGAAACGCAAGGTATAAACTCAAAAAAAAAAAAAACGAGATGTACTTCATATCTTGCATTTCTATTTTGTATTTCTCACATATTTCTCTCACAATTCTGAATGTTGTCAGAATTGTGAGATATAAACTCACAATTGTGACAAACTCTGAATTGAGATAGAAACTCAGAAATTAGATATGTAAACAAATTTTTTTAGACATAAAACTCACAATTGTGAGAAAAAAAAAATAAAAGTCAGAATTGTGAGAAAAATTTGTCGTTACCTTTTAAATGTTTTATTCTGTAGCAGAAACAAGCTTCTATATGAAAGTGAAGAATGTCCGTTGAGGAAAACGGGCCTCACTGGGCCACGAAACCTTCTGCTGTCCAGAACAGAGCTCACGGCATCAGATGCTGCTCGCTTACATGGGACACAAACACAGAAATGAACTGCTAACATGTACCTTCAATGCAGTGTCAGTTTGATTAAAAGCATCTGCCAAGTGCATAAATGTAAAAGTTAATAAATATTTCTTTTTTAATGCCATTACATTTTTTGAAGTGAAGAAATTTGGGGGAACAGACTTCATCTGTCCACTAAAAATAAACAAAATATTAATTAAGACATTAAGAAAAGCTCCAGCATCACTTATTCGCAGATGACAGTTGTGTTTTCTGATTAAAAGACATGCAGATATTTTTAGGTTTGACTGAAGAGTCAGATGCTTTGTGGGTCGGCTCACGGTAAGCGTGTGTGTGTATGGAGACGCTTTTGATCCAGGCAGATCAGAGGAGATCAGTGCTGTGAATCCAGTGCTGTTTGAGTGAGGGAGTGTGCGAGTCAGCAGTTCACACACACACACACACACACACACACACACACACACACACACACACACACACACACAC